CTAATATTCCACCTATGCATATCACCCACACAAGAGCATAGATACTTTTGTACAAGCTGATCTGCGCCGCTTCAGTCACAGTTGTTCGCATCAGGAGAAATATATGTATTATCTTTATCAATACAACTATGTACAGCAAATGTAGGATGTTGGCACAGTGTTTAATTCAAAACAGATTAAAAATCGAAAAGACCATTAAACCAAAAGTTCTGCGTAGAGTCCGGCAAGAAACGATTGGACTCGGCTCATTTACCGCCACAATGGCGCCCACAAAAGGATTACTCTGAAGTTACCCAGACGACACCATGTAGGATCTTCCGTCTGAACTCGGAGAATCAAAATTTGTTCTTTACTTTCTCTCGAGGTGGAACATTCATCTGGAAGTAAATGGTCAATTATCCTATTACATTTAGATGAATAGCAATCTCCGTTCCTATCCTTCAAGGTGTTTGAAATAACAGCCAGCATGTCGTCATTAAGCATTTCGTGGTTACGATTTGGACACAATCTTACCACGCGGTCTCACCCATACAAAGTGTGAGAAAGCAGGCGATTAAGCCGATGATGATTCTGTTCAAATGCATGTATTCTTCTAGACAAGAAACAAAGCAAGTCGATGAACCTGTTGGTGGCACGACGCCCAGTTGACTGCGTGTCATTCAGTTCTGTTTCAGAAGTACAATCTTGATCGTACAGTATTCCTCTTCCAAGCCCACTTACCTCCTGTTAATGCTTTTCGACTATTTTAAGCAGGATGGAATGAACATATTTTTAAACTGAGCATGCTTTAACGAAGCTATTCCAGTTGGGTACCAATTAACTATCACTATTATGTAGCAGTACATTATCTGCCGAGCTGATGAGCACTCATGCTATAGTTTGTGCCCATTGATAATTTTGTGTTTAACTGACCATGTTTGTCCAGGTGCGTTTCGTGCAATTCAAGAAGAAACTAGCTATTTATTTATTTAAATAACGGCTTTGACGTCAGATTAACTTTTGGCTGAATTATGGATCCGTCTGACATAAATAACACAGCAACGCTGAAGGCTTTATGCATTGGTCATTTTCTCGGCCATTGGTTGTCTTCGATCTAAGCGCTTGACGCTTGGGAAATCCCCACAGAAGTACTAATTGGAAGAAAGATCCGGACGCTGTTCGATAATCTTTTACCAAGGAGAATAGAAAAGCATCGCAGTAGTCACCTGGAGGTAGATCGTAAAGTCTGGCTCCGTAACTTCAATGTTGGTGACATGGTTTACGCCCGGGATTTTCGAAAGCCGAAGGGGTTGTCGAGCGGAAGTGTTATCGCCAGGAAAGGCAGAGTTATCTACGAGGTGATGGTTGGACGTGAGGTGGATTAGGCACATCAATCAGTTGAGATCGAACCATGGAAAAACCCAAGGTCCCCACAAACCACCAGCTTTGCACTGGAACATTCTCCTAGACACGTGCAGGGTGGAAGTTGGGGGTAAGCAACTCGGTGAGACAAAACAAATGCTGCAAACATCAGATGCACAATGCAGGCCGGCTCGGAAGCGGAGAAGACCACAACGGGTGCAAATCGATCCCTGGGCGAAGAGCTACGAACACAATCAGGTTCGGAGGGTTTGCAAGCTGACTCAATTCGGAAAGGCAGGTGACAGCGGGGCGAGAAAGCTGACTGACAACGCGCGCGTGTTCGTCACAAATCGTGCTTGGGACAGACCCTGAGAGCGTGTTACCAGGGCCCAGAAGAAAGCTGATGGAATCGCGCGTCAGACATCACGTGCGTTGCCATGCCCCGGGTAGGCGGATGAAGACTGGCGTGCCCGAGCAAGACGGCGAACTGGTCAGACGGTGCGGACAATCAAGTGTGGAGCGTGGGCTTACAGCCAAATCCCCCAGGCGATGTTTGGAGGATTGGTGAGACCGACCTATAAATATGAGCGTTCTTGGTTCTAATACAACTCTGGACGGCTGAGTCTTCTTCTGTCTTCCTTCCTTTCGGGTTTGCCAAGGCGTCAAACAGAGCAAATGTAAGGGCGCAGATTTACCAGCAGGCGTGAATCAACCGGGTGATTGCGGGTACAGAGTTATAACATTTATTTATTTATTTAAATAACGGCTTTGGCGTCAGATTAACTTTTGGCTGCATTATGGATCCTACTGACATACAGAAACGCTGAAAGTTTTATGCATTGGTCATTTTCTCGGCCATTGGTTGTCCTCGATCTAAGTGGTTGATCCGACGCAATCTCAGACGTAGTAAAGGAAGTCCAATTATGTAATTCAGCAAGCAGTGTCCATGATGGGGCTATCTGCAGACAGAAGTGTTATTATGCGGCCGAACTTGTGCTGCTGCATCAAGTAAGGAGGCTGTTATGTAAAACTAAACTTGGCAAGCCAGACTCTCTAGTTACCGTCTCAAGTACGTGGGCCGAATAGATAGAAGGCTGTCAAACAGGATTTCGGAGCACATTGCATGTAATGTGGTCGCGAATGGTCCCAAGCTGCTAGCAAGCTCCAGTGCCCAACACACCCTAGACTGCTACGTATGTCAAAATCCCCACGTATCGTTCAGGAAAATTATAGTCGACAGAGCAATGTTCGCCTCCTACAGTTTGCTGAGGCTTCAGCAATTAGTCGGCTGAGGCCTAATCTATGCAGACAAACTGAGTTTATGGTTAGTCTCACCTTGCTTTGGTAATTTTTCTTTTCAAGTGCTATGGATATGGCGTCTAGCGAGAGGACGTCATCATTTCGCAGCCTAACCACTGTCAGTGACAGTGGGAGACTGGTGGTGAGATATCCCAGTTAGATCACAAACCATGTAGCCCAGCCAACATCCCCCAGGGCTCAGTGGCTTAAGCTGCTGGCTAGTTGGAATCTGCCTCTAGCGGTCATGGGTTCGATCCCCAGTAGGGGACCGAGGGAATGCGCACCTATGAGAAGTCCCAATAGAGCGAAACGCGTGTGGTGTTTTTCAGGACTAGGCTGTGCTTTGTAGCTTGTTAACCACTGGGATGAGTACCACAAAAAAGTACAACTAAAGTCCTGCAACTCACGAGTAGTTTTTCTTTTGCCTGTTCCAAATTTAAATTGAAGGACCTTGAACGTCGTTACTTTTTACACGCAACACCATTTTCCACAGATTGAATGTAAAAAGCTGATGAGAATATCCGAAATATCTGAATTCAGAGTATCCTGTTGAAAGTTTGATCTTTATCGCTAACTTAAAAGTTGTCAAGGGAAAATCCTGCATGAAATAGCAGCAGCAGCAGCAGACAAACAGCAACATATGTCAACGATCTAGTCAGATTAGGAGAAGTAGAGCATAAAAGCAACTTGAAGGCTATGCACGTATGTCGGTCAATATAATCCCCTTGCGTTTCATAAAGGAAAAAGGAAGCTACAGTTAACACCCCACTTTAGCCGATGAAGGTAGCTGCATACGATACGAAGGAGAAACCTCGCGAATCTCCTGGTTGTGTTGAATATGGTTAGTCATAGGTTAGTAAGTTACTGTTGACGGTCCCTTGACTGCGCAAAAAGACTCAACTACAAAAATGTAGCAAAGAAAGCGGCCTTTGTCAGATGGAAATTCAACAAGCGCTGAACGGAAGTCACTGGAGCGGCTACAAATGCAATTTGAAAGAAAAGAAAATTTGGAGAATAAGAATAGGTGGAACCAAGGTATAATTAGATTATTCAATGATTTCCTGGGTTCAGCGAAAAACCATTCATGAGTTGGCACTCAAAAAAGGTAAGGACCAAAGCACCTGATAGCGTTTGGAAATAATCACTAAAGATCTCGACAATATGATATCTATCGAAAGCGGATTTAGTGAACTGGTGGTTCGAAGGAATTTCACATCTGAAGACACTAAGATGGCACTAAATACATGTTTAGAAATAGAATTATGAAGATTTGGGAAAAAGGATGTGGAAAAAGTTGCAAGATGATAAGACTACATCGCAACAGCTAAGGGAGAAGACGCCAATTCATGCATTAGCGACGATCACATGATATGGACAATACTATTTGAGATCGATCGGTGGCCATGTGGTAGCAGTTCAGCGCGCATGACGCTACCATTGTTAACTGTTGATGTGCGCAGATCTGCAACCGCCCGCGATCATTAAAAATGGCCACAAGCAGTTTAAGAATGTAAAAATTTCGACTGCACACAAATAAACTAAGTATCAAATCTGGTCAGTAAGCACCTTGTGGTTGATGAAGCAGTCCTGCACCTCAATTCATCAGGTCCAAATATCAGACTCCACTGGATTGCCTAACCACTATAGAATTTGCTCGTCCCTTCAGACACCCAACTTCGACTAGTGCGCCCAACGTGTCTGCCACCACAACCCCAAGTGGATTTCGACAACAGTCGGACGTGCATTTGTTTGACTCTGCTGTCTTCCAGGAGTACTTAAGTATCGAACTTGTCAAGAAGATCATCCGCATCCCAGACGCATTGTATGTGTCTTCAATAAAGCGCTTATTCGCTTTGCGGCCACTTTTGTACGGTAGCTCAATAAACAAGGGCTAGTTTTGGACAGCGGTTACTAATACTCATTTCACAGTGCAACAGGGGTGTTTGCTGTATTGTATCTGACAGCCGTTGGACTGTAGCGATTCGGATAGCAGCTCGTGGTCCGGTTCCAGCGTATCATATTGGTCTAGATGACCCACCGTTGTCAACCCGTGTCCAACCACAGTAACAGCTGGCTACTAGTCGGAAGACCATAGGTTCACATCCGCAAAGATTCGTGAAGGACATGCACTCGTAAAAAGCCCTAATGGAACGAAATTGTCGTCCGGTAGTGAAACGGAAATGTAATGCCTGTCTGAAGGAGTCTGTCTGGGACAAAAGAACAACCATAGATAAGTGAACTATAGTCAACCCAATGTTAGCAAAAACCATCTACACAACTAACTGCATCAATACCAGTCAAGTGGTAGTTGTCACTGAAGTCGCGATTCGTTAAACTGTAAGAGAACATATGGGACTTACCCGATGGAACTAACTCCGGAATGCGTGCTAGATTCCAATGCGCCATTTGATGAAACAAAGGACCTAGGAGGTGTCTGTCCATTTCTGCTGTTGCCGATCAAAGTGCGTCCAGTTACCTTGCTTGATTCGGGTGTAGAAGGCGGCAACGGATTGCTCTCACCGGGCTCAGCATGTCCAGGAGGGCCACCTTCGCCACCATTTCCACCTGGACCTCCTAATCCAGGATTGCCTGGGGCTCCGCCGTTTACATCACACTGAACGAAAAATGAGATGATGTAAGTATTAGTTGGAGCGGAAAGCTTGGTAGAGATTTACAGCACAACTGAATAGTTACCTCAATGAACATAAGCAGCCGAGGGTCCTCGGTTTCAACAATGACGGATCCGCCATTTCCTCCATTTCCAGCGTTACCGCCGCGACCACCTTGCCCACCTTGTCCCCCCGAACCGCCTGCGTTGAAATGAGTGAGGATAAGGTGGGCTGCAGTAGTAATGGCAAGTCACGTGCTTATCAACATTGAAGAATGAATCAATGATAAGTGGTAAGGGGATTTATTGAGTTTCGTTGAGAAGATTCGTTGCAGCCAGGCTCAGCCTCTTACATGGAGATAGCGTACATGCAGCGCTCGAGCCGACAACAGTGGCGCAAGGGTGGATGGATCTACAACTGAAGATGGAACTCGAGTAGAGATCAAAACGCGAAGTTATGTGAGATCAGCGGCAAATTGGACCATGAACCTGAACAGTTTGAGTTGTGTTAATTAATAGTAATTAGCATCTCCAATATTGTGATGTTATTAGTTGTCTACAACCTATTTATTGTGCCATGTTTCAATACAATAAGGAATCCCTTGGTCTGGTTGGTCTTGGCGTTCATATTTCGCTGCAAGTTAATCTGGTTAACGGCGGCACAAGTGATTCAGGCCATTAATCCGTACACTTAGCGGGAAACCACAACACAGCCAGACAGCGACCACACATCCAAGATGTTCCACCTGGATGTGTGGATGTAGCCCAGCTGCGACGAACCTGTTCAAAACACAATATATCCTCCCACTGCTCACTAATAATTAGTAGTGACATGAATAGTAATTACCTTAGCAGCTTACGTGTCACCTCGAGTAGTGGCGGCTTGCAAAGATAGCCGTAGGTGGAAGGCCCAGCCGTTCAATGAGAGTGGAGGATGAGTCGCGCTTTATATCAGTTAGTAGCGGCAGGGGTCCGAAGGAAGTCGCACCACTGACGAGACGCAGAAGGTCGAAACACCGATGTTTGGTGCTTTTCCAGACTTGTCAGTCTGCTGACTGAAAGTGGACCGTGATGAATTATTTGAAATAGTAGCGTTTTCCGTGATTTGTGATCACTGTCTGACTGAGCCACACACACACACTATACACGTTAGCTAGAGGTGGGAAATACCTTAGCTATTGTGCCGCAATACCTAAAAGAAAAAAGAGAATAAAATGCAACAGGTGCAAGCCAGTTGAGCTACCGGTAACGGATGGGTATCGTTCCGGTAAGCTACCTGCCGGCTACTATGCAGCGGAAAAAAATAATAATTTACTATGAAAAATTATAAAATGCTAAATAATGAGATCGTGGTGGGAGGGGGAGACTAAGAGGGATGGGTGGGACAAAGAAACTCACAGCAGGAATGCTACTAACGTCGGCTCCTAGCCACATCAACAAGTGTATCAAGCCAAACGTCTTTCGGACTCCAAGCAGGGAACCGTGAAGCTCCAACTGAGGCCAACTTCGAAGTGAGGACCTTCATTCCTCTCGACTAAGTCATCGCTTGGAACATCTCTCCTCTTCTTCCGTTAACACCCCCGGCGCGCAAATAACGCACGTCGCGGGAGTCGGTGGGCTGGCATGCGTAACACGTGGCCGATCCATCGGAGCCTGGTGCGTGAAATAACGGTGCTGAGCGGTTCATTTCCTTTTCCTGTGCCGTAAACAAGGCGTCGAACAAGCTCGTTGTTTGTTCATGCTGACTTGGAAATGTCCCCAAACGGCTGCTTTGAGGAGCATTCCTGATAAATATTAAAAGTCTAGATAACCGTCTTGCGGTCACCCGGGATACATGACTTAAACCGCGATGACAGTTGGAGGCGCCAGGAGGTGTTTCCAAGTGTCAGTTGACAAACTTTCTTGGCAATCGTTCGATAATCTCACTAAATATGGGCAATTTCGAAGGAACGTCGGTGTAACGGCAGATCTGCAATCGATGCGGTGACACTAGCAGAAGCACAACGTTGCAGATCCTAGTAAATTTATATCCCCTCTTCTGCATAAGCGAAGTGGAATTTGAAAAGCCGTACGAGCCTCCTTATCAATTGACGTGGTCTTTTTCTGGACGCAGCCGTAGCACGCCGGTCCAACATTTTCTCCTTGAAATGTTTTCAATCACACAAATGCACGCCTTCTCTGGTGTGCCTCGTGTAAAATCGAGAATAAACCTTATATTAGTATAAAAATAAAGAACCCGGCAAAGCGTCAGTTTTCGCGTCATGAAATACAATCATACAGTAAAGAATCACATAAAGTAAACTTCACGCACTGAAGGAAAAGGATTATCGCCAGACTCTTGGGTTTCAGGGTAATTAGCTGCGTTACAAAGTATAATCACTCAGACACACATTATTCAACTGTGAGAAACAAGGAAAGAATATGCCTGTGAAGCACCCCTTCGTGACCAATGGATTCCGTTAACCTCCAGTTGTTGATCTAATCATTCGACTTGCTGTGATCAGGATTCGTTCTAACCCCTTTTAAATTGACCCATTTTTCAATTCAAAATACGTGGCAGACGACCGTAAAGCATGATGGTTGAATAAACTCCCAACCGAATCCGATAGTTGGGCGATCACTAACCATATCCATCTCTCGTTTCGCGTCACCCTCCAGGTGCACACATCTTGGCAAAGTGAGAGCCCAAGAGATTCATTGTGGGACAGAAACAACTGGAAAGTAAGGTAAAAAGTAAGTGGAAAGTGGCTAACCGCTGTGAACGCTCTTGATAGTAATCGGAAGCCTTGATAGGCCGATTCAGTTCTGTATTAGAGGCACAATGTTGAATATACGATCCTACTGCGCCATTCCCACTTACCTCCCTGTGCATTTGCCGACTATTCTAAGCAGGACGGAATGGATGAATTCTTGCGCAAAGTAAGCTTGAACGAGCCTATTCTATCAAAATAAACATACATTATTATTCATCGGTATATTATCTGAGTAGCTAATAAACAATCGCTGCGACATTTTATGCTCATTGAGGATTCGGTTATTAACTGGCGGTGCCTTGCGTACCTCAATGGAAAGACATGTCGTCAAATTGATGGTAACCATGGTGTTCCGTCGGGACCCCCACGGGCAGATGTCATTATGGCAAAATTAGAGCGTAGCTCACTAAGACCGTACATGGACGAAGTTAAAAAGTATATATGATGTGTGGATGACACCGTTATACTCTGCGAATCGAAAGCACAGGCTGTGAAGCTTTCGAAAGCTTTTAACGACGCGCATCAGAATTTGCATTTCACTTGTAAGCACGAGTCCGGAGAACGACTACCATTTATGAACGCGGATATTGTCAGAAATACGGATGGATAATGCATCAGAAAAGTGTGTGGACAGGGTGGTACACTAATGTTTACAATGCGGTTCCCTAACAGTAAAAACGGACTCTAGTTCGCGTGCTTGCCCTTCGATTGCGCAGTATTTGCACACAGGACACCGTTACTGAGGAACTGCAGAGGATCAGCAACGACCTAAGAGTAAATGGGTATCCGGAGAAATTCATCGTCAAACACCTTAAAGAACGTAATAGAAGAACATAGAGGATGAGCATGCCCAAGAAGGAACTTATGTGCAATTACCACTCAAAGGCGATATTGCGGCTGATGCCTTGACCGAGCCCCTGAAAAATGCTGTTAAGAAAACATATTTCGCAGTTCGCTTACCTATACAACGTACAACATGCCTTTACTCGCAAAACCGTTGTAAGAAAGACTGCCTAGGTTGACTCTATCAATGCCTGTTTATTAGTACTCGTGTTCAAGTGCTGGACGATAGGTGGTTCATACTACGTGGTGCCTATCTCATAGTATACGCGAACACACGCGGAAGTGGTTTTACAGTGGTGAAGCGAAGTCCTCTAATAGGTCCATCATGTCGCACTTCCTCGAGTACGGTCACGAAAGCTCTGAAAAGGATTTCGGAATTATCTAGTCCATAACTGAGAAATTCATGCGTGGATTCTGTGAACATCTATGCGTTAACGCAAGCCGGAGGTGTGCGTACAGAAGCAAATCTTAGGCCGGTTACTTTATCGAGACCAATGTTTTTCGGCACATAATCATTCGATTTGCATTTTTACCTCTGTTAGCCGTCGATTAGTCGTGAAAATAATAAACCTGATTACCTTTCCTTTGTATATACTCTCCACCTTCAGTGACATCGTGATACATCGATACAATCCCACTCCTGCACTTAACCGCTTGGTGATGGAAGCGTCGAAGTATGGCATGCACTTTTCATTATCCAAATGCAAAACACTTTTTTAAGACTGGCAGGTGTCTATACCTCCCCTCACTCTCGGCGGCGAGACTCTGGAGGTCGTGGAGAGTCTCGTTGACCCAAGAAGTTGCATCACTGCTGGTGGAGAGCAGTTCGATGAGCATCTCAAGATCCCGTCTCGATTTCTTCAGACTGAGGCACTTGTTGCGCCGCCGCGACATCCGTCTCTCCATCAATGGGTGGGTTTAGTGTGCGACAGTTCGCGCTGTACTGTTGTACCGCTGCGAGATGTGTCCTGTCGGAACCGTTGACCTGCGCTTGCTGTATGTCTTCGAGCACCGTTGTTGGCGGTCCATTACCCGAGTGTGATGGCTGCACCACGTGAGCAATGCGGAAGTTAGACAGTGCATCTTGGAGGGTGAACAACTCGCTCGAGGAGGTTGTCTCGCTGCACCAATCGCAGTGGTTTGCTCACGTTTTGCGCATGCCCACTCAGCGCATTCCGTGTTGTGGATTGGTCGCGGTTGCTGGACATGGCTGGCGGAAGTGGCGCGGTGGACAGCCTACGACTCGGAGAAGCCACATAAAAAACTGACTAAGCAGCTGGCCTCGGTCAATTGTTCTCGACTCCCTAATTGGGGCATCAGACACGGAGTGTCGCTGGTTGGAGAGCCTGGAAATTATAGCTCAAACCGATAGCAGTGGCGGACTTGTATCACCGCATGTTGCAGTGATTCTTCTTACCTCCATAAATAAACTGACAAAAAAGTTAAAATTGAGTGGAATATTGGACAAAAACGTTGCCTGTTATTTTCTTCCCTTATTCTGACGCTGTTTTCATATTCCGATGGCACGAGATCTGTACCACAGATAGTGAATAAGTGATAAAAACAATATTAATAACAATAACAATAATAATATAATAATTGACGC